AAGATGGCGAATGGGTTTAGCTATCTGTTCTGTCTGACACTGAGTCCAAGTATAAGGATTAGGAAAAGTACAAAAGGCAGTCTTCTGCTGACCAGGAATATCCACACACAACCTTGATGGGGAATTTAAATCCATGGATGATTTATTTCACTTCAGGAAGAAGTATCCAGACAAAGAAAGATAATAGAGAGTGGGGCACAAATAATGGAGTTCCGTGAGGCATCGTCAGACAGGAATATTTATCCGAGGACACAATCCCACAACTTTATCGAAAAGATGGAACCGTCTCAGCCTGCGATTCAGTAAAGCCTGAAATACTGGCAGGCCATTTCGCTTCTTAAATGCCAATTCCAGATCCAGACACACAAACATCTCAACTTGTTTCGAGTACTGTCTTCAAGTTGTTAATCAAAGAACATTATTATTTTTTTTTTGGGGGGGGGACCCGTTTACACCACCTTTCACACACCTCTACCATCTCTAGTCTGCGTTGTTACAGTCTAAAAAGACAAAAGCAGTAATTTGTTCAGAAGGTTAAATACAGAAGTTACCTCATATAGACCAATAAGAATTTTACAGTTTTCTTAATGCCATGATGATCTTATGATATTATTTATGTGAAAACAATTTGGATTCAGAAAATTATGAATCACATGTGTACTGATAAATAATTTCAAGTACACTTAAATGTAAATGACAATTTAGATAACTGACAAAGTTGAGAGAGCTTTGTTTCTCAGGCTCCGCTTTATAGCTAAATAAATGACTAAATTCCTGAAGCTAATATCAGGGCGGCCCATAATTGAGCAGAATAAATACCATTCAGTTGGTGTTAGTGTACCATATTGAAGTACGGTTCGCCCCTTTTGATTGTTGGGCAATAATTGTGCAATATGAAAACGACCAGATTGGTGCACAGATATCATTGGAAATAGACTTGGCTCTTTGTCGTGGAATATCTATTTCGAAGACCTGGCTTTGTCTATGAAATTCAAACCAATGCTCCCGTATGCACCTGTCTAAATATTCTAAAGAATGAATGATCATTCCAAAATGGATTCCCTTTCATTCTGAGGAAATGGAGAGGATATTGACATCTATACAACGTTCCGAAGTTACTGATCAAGGAAACCATGTGAAAAGAGTTTTTGCTCAATACTTTAGTAGATATACATACCAGTAAAACACTTTGTTATAATAATGACAACGGTAAAACATCGACATGCGCAAACTAGTAAAGTATCCAATAAAATTATGTTACTAAGTCACATCTCATACCTGCTCGACAGCAGAGGTTTCAAATTTTTTTTATGAAAATAAGTTCATTCAGTCCTTTATTGTGTACCATTCCCAAAGATGACCTGTCTCACGATTTCTCCAACTTTTGAATCCAGCTTGGCTGAATCTGTCAACATATCACTGTCTTCAACACAAGAATGATGTCCATGGATTTTAAGTTATTTATGTGAATTATGTTCCCAAGGCGACCTACTAAGGATAATTTCTGTAGAGAACCAGGGGGGTGGAAGCCACAACACAAGACGCTCAGTCGGCACCAGTGCTACTCTGGTTATATAACTCTCATGAATATCCCCCAATCATCATCTGAAACGCACTCCGAATATGTTTTCTAAAAACATATACTTTATAGGACTCGGTTCTACGACCCACGTGAGAGCTTTAACTCACAGATAGCTGTAGCTTCCGTAAACCCTTAGGCAGGTACCCCTTGTAGAAAACTTAGTGCTCTGGGTACAGTTTGGTAAGCTTCTAGGCTCAGGCTACAGAATGAGCTGATGTAGGCTTTAAGCTTGCAATATTCCTTAAAAGATGGATGCTATTTCTAATAAACCGAATTTTTAGTTTTAAAGAGAGAGAGAGAGAGAGAGAGAGAGAGAGAGAGAGAGAGAGAGAGAGAGAGAGAGAGAGAGAGAGAGAGAGAGAGAGAGAGAGAGAGAGAGATATAGTAATTCCTGTTCACCTATGCGCGCCCAACCATCTTCCCCCTGAGAAGTGGAGTGTGGCTCCAGACGCCAATAACCAGCCCCAAGCGACGAACCCAACTCTGAGCTGGAGGGTGTGCTTGTCAGGGCCGGGCTCCCACGGTGAAAAGTAAAACAGCATATTTCGATCAAGGATTTATAGCGTTGTTGGCATTGTAGTCTCATTTATCTTCTGCTCTCTGTCTCCCTCTCCTCTCTTCTTCATCTCTCTCTCTCTCTCTCTCTCTCTCTCTCTCTCTCTCTCTCTCTCTCTCTCTCTCTCTCTCTCTCTCTCTCTCTCTCTCTCTCTCTCTCTCTCTCTCCCTCTTTCCTACTACAATACGAGATCACTTCTGAGATTCTTCTTGTTGCGGAGCGGTGTTCTATGATTCTGACCTTGTGTGTGGCGTGTGTGGGGTTCATATACCACACGAGGAAGGGAGTGAGTGCAGGGACTCTGGCTGCAGTCATCCTTGTCAAGAGAAGTAATGCGGGATGTGTTTATTCTCCCTCGGCCCCAGGACGCAGGGTACACGTACTGGAACCAAAGCACTCTGTGCTTACGACGCGGCATCTCTGCTAATATCCATCGTCCATGTCAACTATGAAACTTTTTTGGATGCGAAATGACTGACGCTTTCAGAAGCTTCTCACTGTTCCATCAACACCTGATCCTTTTTCATTATTAAATCCAAAATGATTGATTCCATGTAAATTCCTTGTAAATAAATCATGATTGATTGATTTACGGGCTATTCATGCCCGTGTCACCTCTTGGGTGATTTAATCTTCATCAATCCATCAATTCCTTGTTGTCTGTTGCATGCGGCTTTCTCTTGGAGACACGAAGCCTCTCTCACCTTCCAGTCTAGTAGTGGGCTGGAAGATACTTAGGCAGTATGCCTTGTGTGTGTGTATACCTTGTATGTGTATGCTTTGTGTGTGTATGCCTTGTATGTATGCCTTGTGAGTGTATGCCTTGTGTGTGTATGCCTTGTGTATGCCTTGTGAGTGTATGCCTTGTGTGTGTATGCCTTGTATGTGCATGTCTGAATGTCGCTACCACGCCTAGTGTTAGTGAGGTATAACAATGTACTGTGTGTATGACAAACCTTGATATATAGGTGACTTGTATTACACTGAACATTTACCTATCAGTCATTGCAAATTAAGTCTTCTGAGTATTTATCTTTTACAAACACCCAGTGAAGTGGCTTCCACACATTACCCATATTCGTTCCTTCGGTCTCCCGTCTGTACTCTCTCCCTTCCTTTCCTTCTATCCCTTTACCTCCCCTACTATCCCATCTCTCCACTGCCTTGCTCTGACCCCTTCTATTCTCCACCCCTCTCCCGCTACCCTGTCTCTTTGCTAACTTTACCTTTGCCTCCCTTACTATTTTCTCCCAAACGTTCTAATATCATCCATCCCCTCCTATCCCTCCACCCTTTTCTACAATTTCTCCCATTGTTTTCTCTCCAATTATAGGTAATGGGTCGTAGAATGCAAAACCAAAACTTTTTGAACTTAAACCCCAAATTTAAAACATCTTCAGGGTAATGCTTGTCTATCATGTGCTGAAACTTCCCAGAGGGCTCCTGATCGTGTCTCTCCAATAGATATCTATCTTCCAAGGCACTCACCATTTAAGTGTATCGTTTTCCTAAATCTTTTCAGAGCCATCTTCTAAACTTCGCGCTCTTCAAGCAAGCTAAATATTTCCATCATGTTATTTATTGTTTATCAGTATTTGTCGTTCCTTGGAGCCTTGTCAGTGTTTAATTTCTGATATTCAATCATTCGTCATCTTATTTAACCTGTTCACTCGAAACAAACAAAAAATTCTAACTAAATTAGACGCTAGTCAATTTAGCCGCCTTACTCAATCAAGCATGCCTTTATTTCTTCCATATCTATGCATATAACTTCAAATTAATCATGACTGTAAACATACAATTTTTGTTTTAAATTATTTAATTAGTTCTATCAAGCCTCATAGTTAATTCTAGTTGTCTTAGAATCCCCAGAATTTAATATAATCGTCATTGCAAGCTCCAGAGTCAATTATATTCGACATAGCGAGCCCGTAGTAGCAGTCGTCCTAGCAAGCCTCATGTTTAGTTCCTGTTTTTATGCCAAGCCCAATTATGAGGTGAAATCTTCCTAGCAATTCTCGTAATCAGTCCTAGCCGCCTTAGCAAGCCTCTCCCGTTTTGCCTCGAGCTGCATCTTTGTTTTGGGAATTGGGACAAATATAATATATTTAGATTAAATCTCTTAGGAGCTGGCGACGTTGATGTTGAGACTCAAGATAAGTTTATCTCCGACCTGTTAACATAAAACTTCACTCTCTCTTTATTATTCTCTAGAGTCTCATGTATCCAGAAGCTTACCATTTCTTCCACTAATTAAACATTTTTTAGCAGTTTATCTCATAATTAATAATTACAAATATAATTTGAAGTAATATTAGTCACACGGATGCAATGATTTAATTCATAAACGCGAACTGGAAATCTAATAATCCATATGCATTTTGTTTCAATACTTTTTGAGAGCAACCACTATTGGAATACACTATTATGTACTTGTACACAAGTAGCATGATTATTATCAATACATTTATCTGTTTTTATCCATACTTTGTGTGTGTGTGGGGGGGGGGGGGGGGGGGGGGGGGTAGAGTTGCAATGCAACTATATCAGCAATTACATATAAAAACTGTCATGTAATTCAAAACATATATGTAATCTATGTCCAGCATTCGTGCATTGAATTTTCCCAAAAGGGGTATATTCACCGAGAAGGTGTACCCCTTTTCTGATTATGAACACCACATTTACTTTAGGCTTGCATAGTGTTCATGACTAAAGTATTCTTGGTAGTTGGACAGCAAGTCATTATATTGGCCTAAATAACCCCTCTAGAGCTTGATGTGTCATAATCCCAACACAACACCTTTTTCCCCACTGAATGCAGTCCACACCTTCTCTAAACCACTTTTCTTCCCAAACCAGGCGCAGTCAGCGCTGATCTACGACGCGGTAAAGGTGGTGTCAGAGGCGCTTACCAGACTCAAGCGCAAAAAGATGGATATGTTCAGTGACGTGCCAGGCCTGGGCGAGCCCCGCAAGATCTCCTGTGACATAACAGACGACGACGACCAGATCATCTGGGAGTACGGAGAGAGGATCACACGCATCATGAGGAAGGTGAGTGATGGGGTGGGACACGGGGGTAACAGCGTTGAGGAAAGAAAAGCAAGGAGAATAGAAGATATATGAGGGAGAAGAAATTTTGAAGAGAGGTTTAGTTACAAAATGATGACCAGAAAGCAGTGATTCAAATCTGGTTACTCAACGACACTTTGTAATTTTAAGGTGATGGGAACTATTTAGTGCCACAAATCTGTTCTATCTCTCTCTCTCTCTTCCAAATTTTCACAAAATTGAACAGTACGTAAATAATTGACTGTAAATTTGTGTAAACTAACTCAACAATAAATGCACAGCTATTTATGAAAAATGTTTATGAATAAAGATCTAAATTTGGGTAGAAAAGATGGGAGATTTGAGAGTGAAGGGGAACGTAATAAAAAGGAGACAAACGGCACATAACAGAGCAAAATTAGGAGATTGAAGATGTATTATAATATGATCTCAATGTCTGTTATGGTTGTGGTTATAAGCATGTTGGAAGAGCATGTGGGAAGGTATGAGTTTGGGTAGGATGCTGCTGATACAGGATGGGTATGAGATGAAGATGAGTAACATAAGGGGATGCTCTTGGAATGTGAGAGGAATAAGGGAGGGAAAATGAGAAACATGAGAAGACGCTGATGGGGCATGAGGTAAATATGAGCCACATAAGAAATATTAGATCATGAGCTGCTAAAGAGTTAAAGAGGAAGATGAGTAACATTAAAAGACGCTGATGTAATATGTAACATAATAAACTAATAAAACAAAAATAGATATAAATGAGTAAGAAATAAACTAAAGAAGTGGAGAATGCATCTCCATACAATCATTCAGTAAAAATATTAAGTCACTGAAAGATGATGACATAAACTGAACGAGAAAGAAACATTGCTCGCGTTTTACAAACAAGTGCTGGTATATATATGCATAACAAATACCAGCTAAAGTCATTTTTAAATTTACACTGCTCCTTTTTGTAGTAATGACATACCTGTTATAAATATAAAATTACTCCAACAGATTAACTTAAGAAGACAATGTTTCCTAAACTTCTTAGACTCGTATTTACTGCTTAAACAAAAATCATTGTATAAGGTTTGTATCCTGAATCAGTATCAATATTCTTTTTACAAAACCCAAAGCACACACACATAAACACACACACACACACACACACACACACACACACACACACACGTGTGTGTATACATATATATATATATATATATATATATATATATATATATATATATATATATATATATATATATATATATATATATATATATATATATATATATATATATATATATATATATATATATATATATATATATATATATATATATATATATATATATATATATATATATATATATATATTATTAAATATGACCGATTGGCTGTTGATTGCTGGCAATCAACAGCCAATTAATGCACAACTATATTCTACCCACCTCAAGACTCCGCTCCAATATAGAAGCATCAAGAAAATGGACCAATAGGCTTTCTACAATCACTTCTATTCAATACCCATTGTTTCGTGTTCTGTCTTGTGTTGATGAAATTAATACCCTATTAATACCACCTTGTTCTGTCTTGTGTTGATGAAATTAATACCCTATTAATGCCACCTCACCCCATCCACCTCTCTCAAATGTAGATATAAAATCGGAGATGCGTAAGTTCTATTCAGTTGTGTATTTGTAAACTAAAGTCTTTGAAAATGTAAGAAGTTTTACGAAACGCGCTCGTGTCGCGTCAGACTAGAAATAAAAATGAATTTTGGAGAATTGATTTTTGAATTACCATCAACAGTGAAAAGAAACGTAAGAAAGATCGAGAAAATTCGTGTTAGAATTATTAATCTTACTTTTTCGGTCATATTTAATAATATATGTTCACAGGAAAGACTGCTACCAAAATATACTAATATATATAAATATATATATATATATATATATATACTCTAGGGGGAAACCTTGTTTGGTTTACTTGTGGGGAAATGCTGATGACAGTGTTACTGTCTGGGTGTGTAAATGGAGGTAGTCAAGCCAACAGTGTCCGCAACACGTCCTCTCAAGGGATGACTTGTGTCAGCGGGTGGAAACACTCACGACACACCCAGAAGCAGCGCTCCGGTTCTCGGCGTGAGAGAAACCCACTCAAATGCAGATTAATATGTTAACGAGCAGGAGGAGAGCAAACGGGGCGTCTCCCAGGATCGGCTAGATGGTCTCTGTGTCACTCTGAGTGTCGTTGGGACCATTACGCTCGCCCGAGGTCCATGATGAGGTTTGAGGGTTCATTTCCTTGCATGGAGAAGGCTTCTGATGATCCAGGATAGGGTTGAAAACCTCACCATCATCTGACGACGAGTGGGGAGTTCAGGGGGATTGTGCTCTTTGGGACCTTGAAGACGTTTGTACTATTGAACGTGACTAGTAAGGTCGCCTGGGTGTCTTTGGTAGACTCGCCTGTATTGATACAAGGAGGGACTTGAAGTGTTATGTATCTAGAAATCTCAAAGACATAGTACTCTCACAATACCAATACTAATAGGACCTTTGTCAGTATTCCTTAATTAGTTTCTGAATTGTTCTTTGAGATGCCGACTCTCTTTAACCATTTTTAGTGCTATTTCAGCCATCGTATGGCCTCTAAAAGTGGTTCCAAACATACCTCTAAACTCACACTTTTTGTCTAGGAGGCAGTGAGATCTCACCTCCATTTAAAAGGGAGTTCACACAGTTCCAGCAACCTTCTCACGTGGATTCATAAGTCTATAGGTACCACTACGATCTGTGTGTATACTCGACTGTGGAAACTATTTTTGAAACTTGGAGTATCACCACTAAGTTCGCCTCTTCTCATGTTATATGTCAATTATTTGCATTAAACGGATCGCTGCCTCAATGCCGACTAAAAGGCTTGCTTTTGATTGTTTCTCAAAGTAAATTTATTGTTTTTCTATAAATGATCGCTAGGTTCGCACACGCTTGGTGTACACCATACTGTGGAAAGGGTGCATTCTTTTGCCAGTGTGACGCTTTCTGACAGACATCTTGTAACAATAATTTTTCAATTAAAAATTGAATGGTGAATAATTTGTGTATCTCATCTGAAGGAATATAGCGGAGTACTATTAATCGTGTAAGAGACGCTACAGAGTTCTTGTGTTCCAAGAAGGAGCTCCATGTGGCTATATTAACTCTGACGCAGGATTGACTGAAACTCTACGGATCAGTAGTGAATGAGAAAGAAAAAATTAGTATTGGCGACACTGACAACAATATCATGAATTTCCATTGACCTTGGAATTAATTCCACATCCTTTCAAGGTCATTTGTTCAGAAGGGACCTTTCAAGGTCAGAAATTTTGTGACGTTGACAGAACTGTCGCAGAATAAAATGGAACAATAGAAGTGTTCCTCCAGTGTTTAAATGGAGGAACACCTCGAGCGTCAGTACAGAACAAGGACCACTTAGACAAATTTTTAAATTAATACTACGGAAACCTCCAGGACAAAAAACATCAGGAACCTTAATGTCTGGTAAGCAAAGAAAAGAGCGAGGCTTCAAGAACGTCAGATCAAAGAATCAAGTGTAAGACGTCGTAATATATATTAACTGTAAAAAAAGAAAAGAAAATCAAGATTTTAGGCAATTTCTTAAACTATGCTTTACGGAAGTCAGGAAGTCACACACTCTGTGATGAGCCAATGAGTAGCTCCAGATTGGCAGATCACTCACAAAAACCATGGTTAAAAGTGCCAAAAAAAATTGAATGAAAAACTTTGTAATGCCAGAAAAGGACACTGTGTAAAAAACAGTTTGCGAGTTAAGTCATCAAATTAACCTCGTTTTAAAAAATGTTTAAAAGAGTATAATGAATTGCGATGTGGAGAAAGAAGGGGAGGACAGAGATAAATTGGAAAGTTTAAGAGAGAATGTCACAATCTTCTTCTTTTGCCGTTTTGAAGAAGCTGTGTCGGTGGTAATGAAGATATTTTTAGCTCGCTGTTGCGGGAGATTAAAATGTGTATCGTGCCTTAAGAAGAGTGGCAGGGAGGGGAAGTTCAGGGAGGAAAGGTGCGAATGGAATTGAAAAGAAGAAGGGAGGGGGGGGGGGAAGGTGATACAAAATGAGAGGGGGTGATGGAAACGAAAAAGGATACTGAAAAAATAAAGAGAAATAATGAAGACGAGCAAAGGATGAACCCGTTGCTTGGGAACATCAAAAGAAAGCTACAATGAAGAGAGAGAAAGAGAAAACTAGGTATAAGAGAATGATGGATGGAAAAGAAGGAAAGATAAGTTAAATAACTCACACACAATTTAGCAGAAATGGGAGGAAATGTTATACAATGAAATGTGGTGTTATGGGTTGTGAGTTGCGCGAAGATGGAGGCTAGAGGCATATGAAAATGTAATATGGAAGGTCGCTTATGTTGAGATGTGTGTTTGAAGTTGCATGTTGTTATAGTTCCAAGGATGTTGAGAGAGAATTGATCAATACTTACTACTACACTACTTACCTATCAGTGCCTACGGGAAAGAGAGGTCTAAGGCTTGTTATGCCCGCCGCCTACTATCTTGGAACCTGTTGGTTATCATTGATTAATTCTGACGTTCAAATTCTTCGTAATATTTTGGCGCTTAAAGTTATGGATGTAGGTGAATTTCAAAACTTCTTCTGCCAGTACATGTCACTCGTTCACCACCTGTACTATGTACGAACATTTTAGTACTTTTTTTTACTCATATCTGTTTACAGTTTTCAGTTATATCCTTCCGTCTTGCTTTCAGTTTAAAGACGCTGTACATGTCTACCTTTTCAATTTTCCCTCAGTATCTTATATGCTGTAATCAAGTCCCCTCTATTTCTTCTCTCTTCCAGGGTCTAATTCCCTTAAACTACTCCTTGATCGATTAGTCCACGAAGCTCTGCACTAACCTTTATGAAAACTTTGAACCTTTTTTACTTTTGTTTTCAAGCTTTACTACTAGCA